AAGGTAAACGAACTTCTCGACTACTTCCAAAGAAATTTGGGAGAAGGTGAGGTCAAGAGAAGTTTCTCACCAGTCCTGAAGGAAAACCTTATGTAAAGGTCACTCCGAAATGAGAGGCTGAGACCTCTAACCTGCGCAGTATATCCTGGACAACTTGTGAGGTGTCACAGATTACGACGATGTCGTCAGCATCCTCTGAATCCCGTAGCTGAACACCATGAAGAAACGACACCATCTGCTCCAGTTGTTCGGAGCGTTGTATAAGTTGTCATCCATAGGCAAGTTGAACAAGAAAAGGGATGCGTGGGAAACTCTGTCTCATGGCAGCAGTGATGCTAACGCGGGGCGAAAGTCCACCGTAGATCAGCACTAGTCCCGTGGTTCGAGGGTAGATGGCTTGAAGATCTTTAACAGAGTTCTCTGGCACTTCCCTTTGCAGCAGACAATTTCAGAGAGCAGTAATGTCAACTGAGTCAAATGCGGCACAAATGCCTAATAAGCAAACGGTGGTAGGCCGATTAAAATCTCGGCTGTGTTCCAGTACTTGTCGGATCATAAAGATATGATCAATGCAACTCCGACCCCAGCAAAACTACCCTACCTCTCGCGTATGCGCTTTCGGTTTACTCGACTGTGCCTCCGTAAAGACAGGGAAGTGTGGACTTTGAACGCAGCGAATAAGTAGAGGATCCCTCGGTATTTGATGCAAACCACCCAGTCATCTCTTTTGAAGGCTAGCACAATTTTCGTTCAGATCCAATCAGGTGGGAAGACTTCTATGATGGCAGGTAGTTAATTCATAAAGGATAGACGGGCCTAAATCTTCAAAAAGCGATTAGAGAAATCCGTCGAAAATGGGAGATTTGTGACATTCCGGAAGGTGCAGCTTATAGACAACCTCGGTTTCGGATGTTAGAGAGGTGCTTACAAACCAAGGAATACCTTTGCTACCAGAATGACAAGCCGAAAGCAATGATGGTTAGTTGAATTACTGTTTGAAGTGCTCTATCAAAGGTAAAAGCCAGCGTCGGTGATTGTGAACTGGTTCACCGATGGACCCAAATATCACTTGGCATACAGTTGACTTCTTGCCACACGTAGATCTGATAACAGAGGAGTTTGCGGAACATTTCTGAGGATGCAGCTTGTTTCATTTCGATGAAACGATGCGTCCACCACGCTTCGCAATCTTTTCTGGGGGGCTGTTTTTCCCTGCTTTGATAACACTGCGCAACGAGTTGTACTCAACGCCAGTAGGGATTTCCCCCAATCTTCCATAAGTTGCACAAATCGAGCATAAATCCACCAGGTGAGGTTGTGCCCAGCAAAATGGTAGATAGCGCTGGCAGGCTTGTGTACGGCTCACCTGATATATGTCCAGTGAGCCCCAAATTCTAGGAGTTGGGGCTCTTCATATTAGAAGATGAAGTCTAAAAGGCACAGCTAACAGTTAGAGCGGCAAGTTGCACGTCAAACCGTTTCGGCCGTCAAAATGCAAGTCAACACACAAACGCGCGATCAGAAGTGAGATGAGGACACCGAAACTGATTAGCGTGTCTGTTGTGCGGCGTCCCCAACGACAACTGATAGCGATGTGGTCAATCTGCGTCCCCGACTGTCCAGGCGAAGGAAGTCGCCAGGTGACGCGCTGGCACTGTGAAGCGCTGAAAGTTTAGACTCAAGAAGAGGAAGCCATGATCATTACAGGGCTGTAGAGGGCGATCGCCGTTATCTGTCCTGCAAGTACCATGGCCACGCAAACCACCAAGTTCACGTTCACCAGCTTCACGTCTACCAACGTCAACGTTAAAGTTCTCGGTGAGCATGGCGATATCCATGCGACATTTCTTATAGAAAGGTAGGAGAGTTGACGAGAAAACTCATGTTCGCTTAAGCCCAGCTATCAATTCGTGGGTGCATACGCCGCTACGAGAAACAAACTGTAGTTAGTTGCCTCTTTACTGACAAATCGTGCGGTGCTTTATAGAAGAATTGCACAGAATCCGCTATTAACTGGAATCCAATGAATTAGCGCTGTTTGTGCGTGCGCACATGGCGAACTTTGCACACCATCCTGGCCCGCGGCCTCAGCAGTTGCGTTTTCGGATAAGCGTGACGTGAACGCACCTCGGGAGCCCGCAGAAAGGGATCTCAGTCATAGGGTTTATTGTGGCCCTCTAAGCCGGTATCAGCGCGCAACAGATACCGGTGATTAGGGTTTCTGGGGTGCGTTCAAGAACTGTTTTTTTTCTTATCAACAAGAGCGTCCATACATTTTAAGCGGCCAACTTGAATTGTGTACGTTGGGCTAGAATTGTCTGTGTTTACGAGTAGCTGGCACATGGACGGTCTTAAAATCTCTCATCGACATTTTTAGAACTGTCCCTTTAGGTGAGGCGGTGTTTGCGGCAGGGGATAACGAAGAATGGGAAGTTCCACAAACATGGAAGAGAACAAGTAGTGCGTCGTGCAGCAGGGCATGGTTTTGCGCACCTAGTCGCCAGCACCTCGGCCAAGGCGAGCTTAGATATGGAGCGCAGATAAGGACCAATATTATGCAGGTTCATGGGTGTTTGTGGTATGTGGACAGATGGCTTCTCCTTTTTCTTGGATCGAGGGAGAGCGTTCACAAAAGGACGCAACCCGGAGCCTGAAACCTTAAAGAACTGATCCTCAGGGTATTGGGACGATTACCGTATTTCATTGACCGTCAGAAGCCAATAACCCGATTCCCGGTCAGTAACAAACTACCTAGGGCGCTCGAGGTCAGAGATCATAAAACATTTCTTGGAACGTCTGATTAGCTGCTGATTACAAACACTGTTTGCGCTGAGATGGCTCGTACGTCTTCTTAGTTTTGGATAGCAGTTCTCACAGCAGCCAGTGGCCAACAAGGCTTTTCCTATGCTCCCCGTTAGAAACTCATTTCTGGTTACAGAAATGAGTGCTTAGTGACCCTATGGCCGGTCATATTGGCTTTGACACAACGCCATACGATTTCTTATCGTATATAATGTAGAATCATGTGAGCAGTCCAAAACTCATCACGCTCTGAGACGCTGCCGCTGGTTGTCTTTAATTGCTTATTCATCTCACATGGGAAGCAGACGAACCTTATTCACACTTACCTCTACAGGGAAGACATTTTCCCATTCGAACACTGGGGACGCATCTAATAGCGTACAACTTCGACCCGGTGACTTCGCCTATGTGCCGTGTGTTGAATATATTCTACCATTTGTGTCACCACCTACTGATACTCAACAAGAACACTAAGTTGAGAGTTAACAGTTTTAACCTTGTTGAGCATCACAGCTGTTGGTAATGTCGTCTGAGTTATTCAAAAACGACACAGTAAGAAGACGAAGCTCGGCAGATGCATGCATTTTGTATCGTCTCTCCAGTGCCGAAAACAATAAATGGAAATGAAATACCACGCTAACGTGATGCAAACGCGAAAACGAAAGGAATACACTGAACTCACGGAGTTATTTTACATTACGGCATTTAAAGCATAGAACACTGCTCCAAACTTAGCCGTTTCCGCTTCTATTTCCTCTGTCGTCAATGGTGGTTGGATATGGCACGTATTTCCCTTGGCATTACTACGTAAGCCATGACAATTCAGAACAGCATGCTCCGATTACGCTACTTAGCTAATTCAAGCTGCACATTTCTATGGGATGCAGCGCAAGAGGCTTGTACTTTTCTCACGAGAAAAATCAGGTATACCGACTGCGTCGATCTTCTTTTGTTCTGTGGTCGGTTCACTGCACTCCATTCCATCATGATGTGTAATTTATACAGCATTTTACTCGTAACATCTTGTTGTTAACTTGTTTACTGTCTGTATCGTTGTGTACTCCATCCAGTTTCAGTGAAACACTTCGGGACCCATTCCATGACAGCTGTACACCCTTCATCTAAAGATGAGAAAAGGAATCTAGCAAATTCGAGGACTACGCCAAGCCAAACATGTTTGTCCGCAATTATTCCGAAGTCCTCCGTGGGTACTTTTAAGAAGTACTTAGTGCACTATCTGACGATCGGTGTCCACTTTTTCTCATCTCAAAGACCGAAGTCATTCAGAGAATATACAGTAACCACTCACCTCCAATTGTCACCCCCTGAAACGCGGTTTAGCAGGAATATTATTATATGCAGACTAAATGATTCCACAATAAGTCTTAGTATAAATGATCTCAAAATGACGCCATCCATTACGTACACAACCATTAGATTCAAATAACTATTTGCGATAATATGCACTCGTGAGTATTCGGTGCATGGATAACACCCTTCCATAACTTCAGTCAGTCCGTTTTCCCCCTAAAGGTTACTTAATAGCTAGCTCACCGATTCTGTGGGCAACTCGACTCTGACCCCTACATAACCTTCGTGCGATAAATCTGAACCTGGGCGAGTGCAATGATGACGAAGTAGTTCGAACTCACATTGCTTCATCTTATTGCGTTCTCATTGAATTACAGCGTGCTACTTATATCTGATAAAAGGATCTCAGATTCAAAAGTGCTTCGGAACCTGACGCGCGTTATGCTGCACCTCTCCTGGATTTTCAAACCGTGTCATGATAAATCACTGTAACGGGCTAAGTGAACGAAACATTCATTCAGAGACCTGACTGCATTAAACCTTTGACTGGCTTCCGCTACCTTACTCACAAGTCGTCGTCCTTATCATGAGCTTCAGCAAAAATCCGCCAAACATCACATGTGTTTTACATGTTTCTATGAAAAAATGGAGCTTCATATGTTATATAAATACCTTTCTTGCAACCGCACCCTAGGTACCACAGGCGCAACTATGGCTTATTTCTCTTGAAAACCGTTACTTTCTTTTATCAATTCGAACAATGCGGTAATAAGACGAAAACTAATAGATGCATGCATTTGGTATTTCCTTTTAACTTTTAATAACATCTTTCGTTTCAACTTTCTTACCTCCATTAGATCTTCCGTCTTCAAGCACAGCCGGACTTAATGAGCCAGCGCACTAGCTTGATCTGTGGATTAATGGCTATATTGGGGTTCATTAGATTCTTCTCGAAGATTGGGCAAGTGAGTTGGCCTTACCATGATCATCGTCCTCTGTTTAGTTCAGTACGGTTTTTAACAACACTTTTGGCAGTTCTCGACTCCCCAGTTAGTGGGTACTAAGCTGGCGAGCTTTCTTTCGGCAGCATCTCTTTTAACAGGCTAGGCCGACATTTGTACAACGTATGATTCACGCTATGTGATCCGCTTCAGTAACACTTCTCACTCTCGTTGCAGGGCTATCTATTCGGTGTATCGGGGGAGCGTTTAACAAGACGACTACGATCACAGTACTTTGAGGCAATTCTGCGACAGGTGAGTATCGGTTTACCGTTTTCTGTCCTTCATTCACAGCACCCTACAAACACTTACATCTTGTCATCCTTGAACATTTTAGCGTAAGATATATACACGGTGGATAGAATTACAACCACGTGACCGCTGGAAATCCTTGACCATGTTCACGAGGTGACCGCACTATTCCTATCGACTTCACGAAGATGCACAATAGTAGCTTTTGTTATCAGAAGACTTTATGTCTACTTGGCTGAGATAGGTAAACCACCGTACATGCGGCTTGGATAAAAAATATCTCCAAACTGAGGTAAATCGAAGAAATGCGCGTTTCTGAACTCCAGTTTTTGCGACTCTACATTGAACACAGCTGTCACCGACCCCTTTAATGAATGAAGTAGTAAGACTTCATAAGAAGAACAGTGAACGTCCGAATGTAGTCTAAGGGAAAATTGATGGATTCATGTGGTATGCAGGTTTGTTTTTGTTACGCAACCATTTGTATGTCAGCAGCTCAGCATCCGTTGAGTAGAACAGGCTGAGTGCTGGTGGTCATTCTAGCCACCAATTTAAGTGTGTCCGTCACCACAAATCGAATTAACTCAAGTCAAATTAATCCAATAACTGCCATGATCCCAAGTTGGGAATTACATACTGTAATTCGGCTAGTAGCGCCATCTGTCGCTCACGGAGAAAACTAGAATGTGCACGTCTTCCACGAAACGTCGCCCGTAGCAACAAACCAAAAGTGATCACATGCGTGCTCTGCACCGAGCACATGAGCTCATTTTCCTGCCCCACTCCACCTATACAAAAACTGAGCAGTAAATGGGTTAAGCTTTACCCCTCCGTATGGATGTAGTTACAACATTTTCACACCAACACTGCGGAAATTAATGCAACAAAGTATCAATGAGAAATGATGATTGACAACAGTGAACGAAAATTTTCCTCTTCAATCAAACATACAATCACGAAAGCGGCGTTTCGTTCCTGTTGGGTCGATTAGTAAGCGTGATGAAAAGTCAGGAAGGAGTTTCGATACGAGGAGGTACCAGAATATAAAACCAGACAGTTGACATGATAAGCAGACTTCAATGGCTTATGTATTGTGAATATCTTTCTTCCTCCTCTCCCGAATCGCTTTTCACTAAATCCACGACATGAGGCTCCATGTATAATAGGATACTCTGCAACAGTTTACTTATTTTTAGCCTTCGTAATTTATACTGTTTACTATCTTATCATTCTGCAGTGGACGCAATATTTGCGGAGTGTTACTGACCCTCAGCTCACGTGCATTGATGACAAAGATGATGACGACGACGATGATGAATGCTGAACACTGGATAGAAGCAGCAAGAAGAAATCTATGTGTAGCTGCATCCAAAATGCTTTAGACACAATTACTTGTTGTGTTGGAGAGAATTTGGGACATTTCTTAGCGTCAGTGTTGTCCAGGAATTTCGTGTATTCCCACATCGACTTCGCCTAGACTACGTGCGGCGGCAGATTGCTCCGTATCATCACTACTCTCCGTTCAAAACAGAGTTACTGGTCGACCGGCTTTAAATACGATACCACAAGCTTGTTCCGGTGCCTCGTGTGTTGCTTCATAGGCACATATGCAGCAACGACCTCAGCATAGGGTAACCACCAAAATGTACTATCCGGCGCATCATGATAAGGTCAACCCGCAATCGGCGATAAGATTGGGCGCAAAGTCCTTGTCTGTTGCACCGTTCTTTGTACGGTATACGTCGTAAAGTGGGGATGCGTCTGCTAGCGACATACTTTACCTGCTAAATCCATTCTACCTCTCCCCGGGAGACAGGACAGTATGCAGGAGAGTCGTACTCTAGCACGTTGAGCCAAGCCATTCTTAGCGACGACCGGGGTTCCAAATTGGAATTTGATGAATTGGCATTGCCCACTTGGTTAAACGTGGAGTTGGCGACTGAACTGGACTGGAGAAACGTCTGGTATGTTTGGACCGATCACCGTAGTTCCGCCATGGCTCAGAACTTTTAACACGCACTCACGCGTATATGGGAAACATCAGCATCTGTAAAGCTTGTCCGGCTATCTAATCGGCAACTTTTTGTTGGACAGGAAATGCGTGATCGTGTTAAATGACGGTGGGTTTGAATTCTATGGACAATGAGATGACTGGTCTGTTCTGAATAAATTTTGTTGCAAATTTTTGCGCTGTTGGATTTAAGCACTAGTGGACAGCTTTGCTCTCAAGACCTCATGTGAAATGGTATAAAGCTACAGCGGATCACTGTTAGAGTGCCAACCTTATGTAGGGTACGAACCAGGGTATCAATGGATCTCTGCTTGAGGCATTGAAGAAGGGGCTTAGCATGGGGACAGGGTCCGCTCCGGGCGACAGATGACAGGGGACGGCATTTTTGTATGGATAATTGTTCGGTACCAAGTGTATATTCATCTAAGTTACTTCCATGATAAAAATGAAGCTTAATAAGCACACTAAGACGGAAAATAAAATTGGTACTGAGTACATTGATCTCCGAGCAACAGAAATTAACATTGACAGCACGGATGCATCGGAAATGTTTATAATGACAATGTGGAAGAGTTGGAAATGTAACCACACTTCGGCACGATAACAAGCACATCAACCGATCTTATGGATGTCTGTTAGTGACTTGTTAAGATTCGTCATGCAATTCTCGCCATGCTTGTCCGGCCCTGAGCTACTGTCGTGTAACACGTCGATCAGGAATTAAATAAGTGATGCTACCTGGAATGAGGCTAAGATGCTAAAAATGAACAGCATTTTACGAGATTTGAAAACCAGTGAACTAACTTTGCGAACACGGATAGTGTATTCTCGTTCAAATAAGACTGTGTTTGCTTTTGGCTGCAGGATGTCTTTAACCTAAAAGTGGGCTTTCCGGACTGAAGAGGGTTACAGAAATGTATAGCAATTAAGTCCAAATGCATGTAAGCCCGAATCTAATAAATCACATGCTCAGTCGTTACGCAACAGTAAAGAGCTGGCGATTAGCTAGTTGAAGTAAAGAACGAAATGGAGTTAACACAAGTACAAAGAGGCGGTGTGAAATTCTAACCAGAATATTTGATAGTCTCAGTTTTATCGCCAAGCAATACCTGACACCATGTGATCACCGAGAAGACATTCAGAATGACAAAGACAGCCAGGAAAATAGAGAATTTTTCAAAATTTGTACATTTTTCAGGCAAGTATGAACTCGTACCTCCTGTACATTTGGTGACAGTGTAGCTGGGAAGGGAAATCAGCACTTTTTCTTCTCTCCACCGGTTTAAATATAAATTAGTGAGCTTTTTGATAAGGCAAACAATAATGAAAATCACCTATTAGGTCAAAGAAATCAAGTATGTTTGCTTAATATTAAATGACATTTCCAACGTATCCCACAAAAATCACGTGAGCGCAAATGAGGTGACGGTAGAGGAGTCCATTTTTTAGCTTATTAGACCAACAGCAAAAAGACAGGCAATTTCTGGACTTGTCTTGAGCTAACCAGATAAGGATGAAATTCAAATTGATGACTGCTTTGGTCACGCATGTGACGATGCTGCTTTTATGGTACGCTGCCGATTGGGTGTGTACAGACATCTGCTAAATTAGTCTAGAGCTACATTTATGCCATCCACAAACCATTCCCCGAAGCTGACTTGTGTATTTCAATCTTCTGAGACGGCTCCTTCCGTTCTATTTTTGGTAAAGTGGACTGGTATTTTTCAGTCCTCTTTCATCCAAAGCTTGATGGTTTGTCTTGGTTTAAAGCAATGGTATAACTGTCAAGTGGCTGTAAAATGTAGGTGGAGTAGTCGAGCGGGGCTGTAAACGTTATGGTGAAGAAATACTCAGGACTGCTCACTTCTCTGAAACATCTCACAGAATAAAAAAATAGCAATCACAACATCACGTGCATCTCAGCTCGGAGTTTTCGTTTTTATTTTGTTCGAACTATTGGAGATCCGTTCTGATTGAAAGCAAGGATACACAGACTTGGTGAAACAAAAAGACTGGATCTGCAGCAAAATACTGTAAAGCTTACAACACTAAGTGTTCATCTTCTTCAGAATAGAGAGAAGAAGTTTTACATTGCGACGGATCAATCCGAAAACACTACGCTGAATTGGGAATAATCATGAAGCGTCAGATGCGCCAAAAACGAATGGACGGTGATGATTTTTGGATATCTCGATAGGATTCCATGCTGAGTTAAGGGGAAATGCTGTCTGTCATAGACATTTCGACTGATGGAATGCCATAAATTTCAGCAAAACCATGATCCTGCGAATAAATGTGCTTTTCTTATTCCACCAAACCGGCTTGATGATGCGTATGGTTGTCCGCTTAGCGAAGGGGAGGCTGATGTAACACATAGGAATTCGTAGCCGTAAGGAGATTATAGTATTTTGTGTAAGCTTTAAACAATTACAAAGTACTTTCTCTTCTGGACATTTTAACTTCATATAGAAATATAACCTCGGGAAATATGCTGCGCATTTTTCTTACTCGAACTATTTTCACTGCCAACTGTGAGAGCGCATTCTCAAAACGCAGGCTTAGAGCGGACCACATGGCATGATCAATAAACAAGAAAATGCTCATGGATTGGCAGTTCACCCCATAGAGAGGGAACTTGCCAATGGACTGCAATTTGATGTTGTTATCATTACTTTTGCCTAAAGTAATGCACGAGTATTGTAACCATACAAATGTCTGCATTTATGGCAGCAATCCAAAGTTACCTCTGTGATTGTTGTTTTACGAAATGAACTATTTAAGAGCTGTTTGCAGTTGTAATGGCTTACGGATTTACAAATGCAAGGAGGCGACTATTTTATGTCCGCCCCGGGCGGCAAAAGTAGTTGCTACGCCACTGCATTGAAGATGATCGGACTTTTGCGACCTGCCTATACGTTGGTGCATTTCTGCGGCTATTCTCTTACTTTTCTCGCATACTTCTGTATGGCGGATAGCCATAAGGAAACGCTTT